TATTATAAAGCGTTTATTATGAAAAATTAAAATTAAAATAGAATATTTTGTTCTAATTTTTACTACATTGAAGTAACTAATAAAAATCAAAGAAATATAAATCTATTATATGTGATTCTCAATTGCGATCGAGATTTATATTATTATATAATTCTTGCATCGTTCATTGTTCATCTATTGGTTATCATTGATGTAAATGTTAGAAGAGCTGCTATAAACAATTGTCTTTGTTAATAGATTTATTAGTTGAAGATAATAATTGATTCCTGCTCGAAGAATTATCAGACAATAAAATAAGAGAAAAAGAATCAATTTTATAAAACACTAAATCAAAACTGGATTTATTGATAGGATTTTATAAATAATTATTCAGTTATATTATTAATATTGTTTACGATTATCTGATATCATAATCAGCAAATTTAATATTCACAATAAGAACCAGTAAATTGCTCAATCGATTTAATAAATATGACCATCATTGTTCTTAAATGAAACTTAAAGTTCAATAGAATTTAAAGATACAATAAATATAATAAATTCTAAAGATTATTTATTAGTTTACTTAAGATTATTTTCTAAAAATTACAAAATCATTTGTTTTACAAAATGATTAAATTTTTTTCTTTCTCTAATGTAGTTTCTCTTTCTCTAATGTACATTCAGCTGAAGATTCCAATTTAAAATTATTCATATAAATTTATTACATAATAATTTTAACAAATGATTCTTTCTCTCTTTCACAAATGAAATAGAAAACGAATGATCATTTCTGGGTACAGACCAGATTCCATGGCCTGGATAGCCTTGGCCTTCGCCAACTCAAGGGCCGTGACCCATTGCTGACGTTCTACCTCTGTCGCTGCCTTGATATGGAAGGTTTGCGTACCACCGTTGCTCACAACGAATGTGCAAGCGTCCACGGTGTGTATTAAGGCCCCGTGCAAGGATATTGTGCCGCGGCACGTGTGCGACATCTCCGCGGGATTTCTAAACAAAGAAGAGAAATAGCGACAGTTCCGTGGACATATTCTTCTATCGCTTAAGAACCGAATGACACAGAGAAAGACAGACGTGAGTTTGCAAGTTAGTCGCTTGCTGCGTCTAATGTAAGTCTGAGGTTTATCCAAGCCAAAAATAGAACATTTCCGGTTCACCCAAAGAATGATTACACATAATTGGATTATACGCATGCACGGGTTATACATGTTACCGTGAAAGCGATTAATTACAATTCTTCGAACTCTCTCTTTCTCTATCTATTTCTGAGAACTTCGATACCAATTAGACACGTGGATCTTAATATGGACCTAACCTGAAACGAAGCAACAACTCGAATATGAGAATATGCAATAATAAATCCACGATAAGATGAAACTAATAGACAAAATGCTAATAACTTTTCTACTATTAAAATTCTACTACTGATGCAATGAATTTTATCGTTTACTATATATTGTACCAGATCTGAATGTAATTGAATGTAATTGACGACTTATCACAACTGTAATTTATTATAATAATTCTGTGAAACTTCGAAGAAAATTTATACAATCATCAAAATACTTTTACGGTAACATTTATACCGTAGCAAATCAAATGAACAATATGACAGTCTGTGTTAATCTGTGACAATATATGATATGTACGTATAAAGTGTAAAGAGCGTAGAAAATGAAGTTCATGTAGAGATTAGCGAGATTGATTATATATTTTTTTTCCAAGCAGGCCCATTACCATTTATACGATTGTATTTTTTCTACACACAAATGAAAGAACAACCCAACGGTAATTTAATGAAGAAATAAAAGAAAAAAAAATGTACAATACTTAAAAGCTGACCTGATGATTGAAAGAAGGGGAACAGATAGCTCGCGGATCGTGTCATGCACTTTAGGGTCAATGAAATTAAATCTAACACGCAAGAATCGAGACTTTGTACACGATGAAAGAATAATCATGCTAACGCGTTCAGAAATTATTATTGCATATTGTCCGCATAGATCACAGGCATTTTCGCAAAATTATTTTTTATTTATATTTTATTTATCTAAAACTCTATTACAAAATAACGTTTTCGTATTCCAAAATAACAAATAATATATCTCACATACTTTACTCCTGTGTGACATTAAATACCTCAAGTCTATTGATTGTAGAGATTTCATATGAATTCAATAGGCAGGAAAAATGCGGGTGTGAAATGTATAAACAAATTGTGCGTATATAATAAAACATCGAAGGGACAGAACGAGACAAAGCTCATAAAAAACTGGATAGAAAACTTACATTTTTATTATCATTGAACACTGTCGAATATAATGAAATTCTAGTCATAACGAATAAACAATTAAATAAAATGACTTTGCTAAATACAACATATTAATGTAAATTGAAATGACTATGTTATGTATCATAGAAGGTCTAACTTGATTTTACTGCTAGATTAAAATTCTTAAATAATTGAATATTATTATAAAATATTGAAATTGAAAGAAAAAGATTTTATTATCGATAAAAAAAAATTGCATCATTATTTGAAAATTATTCTTACAGGAATCAATAGTGTAAGATAATTAGAAAATCAGATTCTCACGCATTACGTAAGAATAAAATAAATTTACTGGAATAAATTCATAATCTTTGCGACATAAAAATCAATGGATAAAATAATGAATAGTTTCTTTCATTGAAAATATTTAACAAATTAAAATTATCGATATTCGTTGATACCAGCTCATCTATTCGTGCTATAATTATTTCTTGGAACATTCCCAAGCTAGTAAAATCTTTACACATTTTGCAAAGACCTTCAGGATACTTCCTGAACGAATCTGGAACTACCAACAAAATGAAGCGATGTATGTTTTATATCGCGGTAAATACATATATACGCACGTATATGTACACATAGAACACAAAAATATATAATTTTAATAATTTTTAAATACAATTAAATTTTAATTAAAGAAATGATGTGAAGGAATGAGGATAATTTTGTAAATTAAATCTATGATGAGGATATGGATAGGAAGCAAATAAATTTATTAGGAACATTGAAAATATTGTATTAATAATAAATCAAATATATATGTATATATATATTATATACATACACACACACACATTCATATATATATATGATATTATATACATATATTATATATATACATATATATATATATATATATAATATGATAAGGAGTTGATAATGAAATGAGAATGAAACTCGAACATCGTCTTTGTCTGTTTTAATTAAAAGTTCGATTCAAAGAAGATTCAGGATATTTCGACTTTTTCGATAATCTTACTTACTCGGAGGCTCTGCCAGCCTTCCGCTTGCGTCGTGTTGATATCTTTGGCCCCCCTGTTGGTTCAGCCCTAAACAGTCCATAAAACAAATAGACCCCGTTCACATTGTGTAACATTGTATAAAAACGATATTTTTTTTTTTTTTTTCTGTTTCGAAAATAAAATATCTATATATTTTTTTCTGTTCCTATTTATCCTACTTGGATTTTCGCGATATTGCGATGTTCCTTCTTTCGTTCATATTTATTTTATTGTTGCTTTTTCTTTCACTCTTTTTCTTTCTCTCTATACTCATTCTCTCTTTCTCTTTCATTCTATCTCTCTTTCCTTTTTATATAGCAATAGTGCAACCATCACGTTCGTGCGTTGCGTATAAGTACATACTTTGTGCGAGAAGCATTTTGACGTTCACGAAGTTGTGGTTCGTGTAAAAATAAAATTGCAGGACATACTGTTTTTGCAATTTGCGAGATATTGCAAACTCAAATCACACAACTGTGCCAAGCGGAAAATTAAAAGAAGATCTAGGCATTGCATGTTGTCAGGGAACGTGGATGTTCTAAATATAAAGAAATTGAATAGTAGAATTTTCGAGGCATATATGTTATATTCCTTAGTATTTTCTCACCTGTATCCACGATCAGTAATTCTGAGATTGAAAGATCGAATTTTGTGCGTAGAAATAAATAATTATAAACTTTTCATGACTAATAATGACAACAATATTTATAATTCTTTCTAAATAATTTTCTTCAATAATATAATTTATAAACATACAGAAGTAAATAAAATTATTAAATGTAAAATTTTATTGTACTGAAAAAAAGAAAAAAGTAGAAGGCAAATATGCAATAAATTTTCTCTGATGCGTATGACAAATATAAGCGAATATATATACAAAATATATGGTCCTTCTGACCAATCAATATTTCTTTCAATGCTTTCTAGTTTTTTTTTAATATAAATTTCAATGTGTTTTATGGCATGTACATGCTCAGGATATATTGCTTGTACTAGAATGGATAAGTATGGAATATGTAAATATGAGTTTTAAACGAAATTATGATTAATTTTAATTAAATATACTTGGATAAACCATATATAATAATATCCATAATTGAGCCTGCACACTGGCTGTTTATTATATACATGCAAGTTCAAACTGTTAAATTTAGTGTTATATTTTATTTATTATATTCTTAAACATAGACTATTTAAGGCACTGAAAAAAATCACAAATAAGATTTAATATATAAAACATATAATCCAGAGCTGTTCCTTAAATATATTTTCATATGTGTATTATTTTTTTTTTAAATTTATACATATATGATTTCTCATTATTATATTTAAATAGAAAAATATATGTTAATAAAAATAATGTTTTTATTTCTGATATTATATATTATGCAATATGAAAGTTTATATATATATTTATGAGCATGTATAAGTTTGTAAACAATTTTATGCTTATATGTTATATTTTATATGAATAATTGTTTTTTTAAAAAATTTTCTTATTATTTTTTATTTATTAATTTTTTATTTATTAATTTTTATTAATTGGAAATAAAATATTATAAATCAGACTTCATATCATCATATTATTTATATTTAACAGATGGTTGAAAAAGGTTATATGACTTGTCATTTTTTCTTTTTAAATTATGTTTTTGTATAAAATCAAATTGAAAATTTCATTCCATAAAATTAATTTTATAAAAATAAATACAATTAAGTATATATGTACAATATTTTATATATAATAATTAAAGATATAATAATAAAAGAACAGCTCCGTATTGTATCCAAAATAATTTTTTTAATAACTGTCATTATTGTACTGTTGGAAAAACAGCAAAATTATAAGATGAAAATCACTAAAGAAATATTTTATTATGAATAAAATATCACATCAATTTTTAGCGTAATTTATGAAAATAAAGTAGCTTAAAGGAAAGTACTGACACGTAGGAAACTACCTGTAATACGACAGTAGGCCATTTGACAGGACGAACCACCTTCGTTGATAACCTTTCAAATAATTAGTCCATTTAAAAAGCCAGCCTTTCATCTCCTGTGTACCATGTTGAGTCTTTGAATCACCCATTTTAGTATACGTTGCGTGCTCACACGTGTTTTTCCTGAAATTATAATGCACTCCAATATTTGCGTACACATCACCCGTGTCGTACAGCCACCATTTTGATATTCTTCTAGCCCACAGACTGTGCGCTCTTAGATCGAAATTGTACTTATACACACTGTTCGTAAGTTTGCAATATACCAGCAGCGATACCAACAGATTCAAGAACGTGCCTTAAAAGCACAGTATATTCGGAAATAGTATAGGTCTTTCTTTTACACGGCGTGGTGACCAGTCACGTTCTCAGTGACGGCGCCTAACCTTTATTACCGAGTCATCTATATAATATTCATATTCGTGTACACAAATACATATAAATTTGATTACGGGTAATCTGTGATTTTGCAAATTTCTTTAATTATTTTCCATTTGTTTTTTTTTCTATTTTTATAAGAAAAGAATAATTTCAAATGAAAGTGTTGCAAACAAAAACAATAGTAGATAGTTTGTATAATATAGAAGTTTCACATAACAAATTTCAAAATAAAAAATTGTAATAAAAATTTTTCAAAATATGTAGCATATGTTCTCTTTTTTATCTTTGTATTGTTTAGACTCTATTAAACTAGAGTCTGAATGAATAAAAAGTTACTAGTATGCATTTGTCAAAATGAAAGAAATCCTAGGGTTACTGTCATTCTTGACGTTTTCCTATTAATCTTAATTAAGAAAAAGAAAATTTCATATATGTCACGTGCATTACAATACTTGTAAACGATGGCAAATATGAAATATATAATTATTTAATATCACGTGGATATATTTACTCGACAGGAATTAACGAAACTTTTACATACTTTTTGGAACGAATACGCCAACGAAAATACATTCGTTCTGTCATTTGGCAAAATATGCGTACGGTCTGCTCAGACAAATAGTTCCGTTTGGAAGAAATGTCATAAAGAAGCACTCAGTACACTCTTCGATTAGATGTTTGATACTGACCATTATCTCCAAATGAAACCAAGCTCTTAATTTATCTGAGCAGATCACACAACGTAAGAAGTACTCAAGTGCCTCTTCATTCTATCCTACGAAGAATGTATATTACAAATTTCAATGTATTAATAACTATGTAGTCACCTCACGTATTTGTAGCGTATATGTACAAAACACAAAAAAGTGAATTTTCTGATCAATTTTATATACTAATTATTTGATCATCAAGTATTTAATGTTTTTTACTTTTATATTTAATAAGTTAAATTATGGAAAATAAAATTCAATGTCATTTTACTTTATCGATAACACAAAAACGAATATCAATGTTATCGACTTAGCTTGTTACTTATTTAAAATAATAAAAATTTAAAATAATAATATTATAAAATAATATTTCAATAAAGTATATTTGAACATAAATAAATAATAAATAAATACTAAATAAATAATAAAATAAGTAAATAATATATTATATGAATAAATATAATAAAAATGATTAGATTTATGAACATAATAAACATAATTAGAAAATATTACAAATAAAATAAATAAAATAATAAATGTTATAAACTAAAAAGCATTGATAATTGTGTAATAATTAAGTTAATTATATTCTGAAATAATTTTCAAAGTATAAAATTGAAATTTAATTAGAATAGATAATTTGTGTTTGTATTATTCACAATATCAAATTTTTTAAATTGTATATTTAAAATTATTTAATACTTAAAAGATACATATTACAATTATTTGTTATAATGTGAAGACAAATATTAAAAAAAATTAATTTAATTTAATTTTTTTTGAATTTTAATATTAATTTTATATGTCATGTGTATAATTATTGTGTATATTAATTATTTTAATATTATACTATATAATAATAATACATTACATATATATAATAATATATATATACAACATATATTAAATTTAGAAAATTTAAAAGGAAACATAAATTTAAAAGTAATAAATTTATAATTTTTTATAATTTTAGTTTTCGTATAATATATATAATAATAATAATAATCTTCCATATTTCATATTTTTTAATAATTTTATAATAAAAATTCATATTGTATTTTTTAATGATTATTAATCCTGTAATAATTATTAATTATTAATTAAATATTTAAATCTTTTGTATATAATTTTAATAATAATCAATAAAATTATTTTCTAAGATTATCATTTTAAATTGTAGAGAGCGCAGAAAACACTGATTTTTCCAATTGGTATTTCAATTCTAGTGACAAGCATAAACTTACTATGATACATGATAAGATATTATAACTATATTATTTCTAATCTGTGATCTAAAATTCAATTTTATTAAATTTTAAATATTTAATTAGTAAAATGAAATTTATTTTTTATGATTTTAGAATATAATTTATAAATATTATAATATTAAATATAAAAAATATTTCTTACATGTTTAAATTGAGTTTAAAAAATATATTGTTTTATAATATATTATAATT